AAATAAAACATCATTAGATTATAATTGAAAGAACAAAAAGGTACTATCTTTTTATTTAGGTACATCGGACAACAAAAGGTACTATCAAACTCTCTTTCTATATGTATAATGTTAAAAATTTATGATGTGACATCTTCTCTTAAAAAGTGAAGACTTGTCTCTTCTCTCACACAAATTGCAGCTTGCACAGTCTTATTGCTCAGTGCCTCTGGGGAACAACAACAAAAATAAATGAATTTCGTGATAAGAAAGAACGTCAAGTACCATTTTGATAGACGACTAAGTGGCTATATATTTAAAAAATTATTTCTTTTGTTTATCCTCTAGCATATTTGGTTATTTTGAATATTTTGTCCAATATATTTTAATGCATTACAAATTAGGGTATAAAAAATGTAAATTAGCTTATATTATTTGTCTAAATTTCTGTACATAATGTTTGGACCCCTTGGAATAAAATCTTGGTTTTGTCCCTAGATGTCACATGTCCAATGGATCACATGGGGAAATTCCCTTCTCTGAATTCTGAACTGCCAGGTCAAGATGGGTACACCACTGTACCTCGATAGGTTGAGATAGAGACATGGTCTTCAACTTGACAATCCTTACTCTTAGCCATCAAACCACATGATCCCCACATAGTTAAAACCATAAAAAAGTTCAGAGACCGCAATATCACATACAGAGCTTTGAGGTGCTTCACTAATCATGCCAACTGACCCAAATAGATGCTAGTTTGAGTATGCGAGGGAGCTCTTTATTAGTGTCACTCCTCTTGAGCTCAAGATGGTCACCTCCACTTTGACCTTGAGATACCATACCATTTCTATATAAGATGTGGAGGCCTTTGGCCTTTAGGAGCATTGTCTTTGAGGATGTCACCCTTGAGGGACTATGGCACTTTGCCTTGTGTGGCCTACAAGCTTCAATTTGAAGGCTATGTAATTTATGCTAACACGGCCAATCTTGCTAAAATGTAGATTTTAGCTAATTTAACACCTGCAAAGTCTTTCCTGGTAGTATAACTCCTTAAACCAATGTATAACTATGAGAATTAGAAACATGTGATGATCCAATGATTCTCTTCCATTTTCTAATCCAGCATTTTTATCGATCCATTGTTGTTGCATTACAATATCTTACCATCACTCGTCCGAATTTGTCGCTTGTTGTTAATCATGCATGTTGACATATGCATTAGCCCACTAATGCTGACTTTGCCTCTGTGAAATGATTACTTCGTTATGTTAAAGGCACTCTTACTCATGGTTTAACTTACACTCCCAACATGTTTGATGTTGATGCAGTTTCTGACTCCAATTGGGCTGATGATCTTCAAGATCGGAAATCTACTTCTGGTCATTGCATCTTTCTTAGTAGAAATCCTATTTCTTGGTCTGCCAAGAAACAAGCTACAGTGTCCCGGTCTTCTACTGAAGCTGAATATCGGGCATTGGCTCATGCGATTGCTGAACTTAGTTAGCTTCAAATGCTTCTGACTGATTTGTTCATCTCATCTCTACTTTGCCTCATCTCTGGTGCAATAGTCTGTCTACTATTGCTTTTGCCACAAATCCTGCCTTTCACTCTCATTCTAAGCACATCAAAATAGATTGTCATTTTGTTTGTGAGAAGGTGCTTGCTAAGCATATCATACTTAAATATGTTCCTACTATTGATCAGTTGGTTGATCTATTCACCAAGCCATTGTCTGTGTCTCGTTTTCAATATTTGAAGAACAAACTGATGGTATTTTCCTCCCCCTTCAGTTTGCAGGGGCATGTAAGTGTATCAAAGTCAGTTAGCATAACTGATTCATAGCCAAGTGGCAAAACTAATGCAACTAAAGCAAGAGTGGAAGTTAGTTAGTTTGTTAGGATTGAATTAGTTGATGTAGATATGAGGTCAGCATGACTAGTATAGTTGATATTGTTGGAAATGGTTTGGAAAAATCCTGGGTAAACCAGGATTTTTTCTTAACTTTGGTCTAATTTTTAGGTGGGATCCGAGCGTCGATTTTCGCAGGTCTAAGTGGTAACACGTTCAATGCCGCGTTGTGATTCACGTGGTATATTTGGTTGCTCAAAACCATTATCGAGTGACTGGAAAATTGAAGCTAAAGTGTGCTCCATAGAAATGAAGTTTTGGTGAAAATTCCTTAAGGTTTGTATAAATGGCTTGTCCCACATTGATTTAGTGAGAAGTTTTAAATGAGTTTATATAGCTTGGATTTATAACTTGGGGAGGGCCCCAAGGTGCACCCCAAGTTTGTAGAAGGGAGAAGTTATGGACAAAATGGGCTAAACCCATTGGATTCAAAAATCACCACATGCGTGCGCGTCGTTGTCCGGCCCAATACTAATCTTTTTGGGCCAAAAATATTTGAATTCAATTTATTTTTGATAGAATAAATTCTGTCCAATTTAAATTTCAATTTTTTGAATTCAAATTTTTATTTGCACCTCTTCAGAAATTCTGTACAAGTTCGGATCTGTCCAAAACCGATTCTGTTCGGTTCAAATTTAAATCCACCCGAACATATTTGAAATTCAAACAAATTCAATTATCTGTTCAAATTCAAACCCAGCAGGTACAGTACCTGTTCAAAAAGGTATGCTACCTATTCAATTCAAAATTAAAAGGGTGCCATTACTTCTATAAATAGATCAGCCCTCGTTTGATCAGATTCACTCCAATTTTCGTCCATAAAATTATGCATTCATACTCTTCATTTTGCTGCATTATTTTCTTGTGAGAAAGAGTATAAAACACTTAGTGTATTCGTTGTACAAATATATTGTAGTGCTGCATATATTTGTTATTGATCATTTCATCCTGAGAGATAGACGTCCATATTCTGAAAATACCGAGGAGAGGACGAATCTGTCTTAAGGACACAGTGTTAAACACTGGACTTGATCAGATTATTATTCGAAGAAATTAACCAAGTAAGTTGTTTAATTTATTATTCTGTTTTAGTTGTTTATTAAATCAGATTTTAATTTTGTTTTTATAACAAAATAAAATCTGTTTTTATTTATTTAATTTTATTTCTAGTTTGATTTTTGTAATCAACATTTTCTCTCATTTCCTTTATTTCTTGTATATTCTGTTTGTTGTTAAGTACACAAATAGAATTAATTAATTACAGTGAAAATTGTCCAACAGATGATTGTCTCGGTAGAAAAGTGGGAGATGAGAGGAGTAGCCACAGTGTTGGTTAAAAAAAATAAAAAATAAAAGTATGGATCAAAAGATAAAGATAGTAGTCATTTTCTTTAGGTATTGTAGACTAATCAAGTATTTTAATGTTGACATTATTAAAAATGAATAGTTACTCTTGAAATTGTATCTGTTCTCCATATTTTTAAAAATAAATATGATTCAAACATATAACTAATGATATCCGATTATCTTAAATTTTTGAATGAATATTCTACTCAATAAGTCGTAAAAAGTGAACAGTTCGGATTAGTAAAGTTGGCCTCAAAATAGACTTACCAACCCTAAATGCTCTCTCAAGTTGAAATGATCAACTTAGAATAATATAATTCCTTTGTCAAACTAGAAGGAAAATCGGTATTTTAAATAAACCCCTCAAGAAATGTAATGTAATTTGTCCTAACAATTAATAGGATAAATTGCAAATGCACTCCCTAGTATTTGCCTAAAATATAGATTATCTCATGTAGTTATAGAAATTATAAATATCTCTTTGTCAAAAAATTTTATTCAATAAAATTGCTGCAAAATTGAAATTCCTAACTATCCTCTTCTACGGCAATGAAATTATTAGAACCGTTAATTGAATTATATTATTAATATCATTAAAAACTATTAATTGACTTAATAATTAATTAATGAAAGTATTACTATTTGTTATGTGACTAAAAATTTTAAGAGGTGGAATATAATTTCTATATTCATATAGGAAAATTTATATTTTAAGTAAACTTTGAGGGATATATTTGCAATTTACCATAATTAATAACTTAGTTTAGGCTTGGTGTACTCCGAACCTGAAGAGGCAACACACGTGCATTCCTCAGCCAATGAAATAGTGCAGACTCAGGAATTTATATTAGATGTAGTGATAGAGAGAGATCATTAGTCATGTTAAATTCTTAAGCTATTAATCACTCATGATGGTTGAGTTTTTCTTTACTTGAAAATAACATTGTTTTGAGTGGAAAATATTTGGAGAATAACATATAAGTGGGCGTTTCAAAAATAATTTATAAATTAGTAAATAACTTTATCAATAATAATCAAAATCTAAAACTTTTTCCATATATTTGTAATATTTTTTTAAAATCACCCCTAGATGTTAATTCCCTCAAAAATATTTTGTATCACATGTATATGTAAGACTTGATGTGATTACTCTTTCGGTTAAAAGTAGCATCAGAGCTTAATGCGGTCGAACACTCAACATCTCAGGTCAACATTAAATGACGTCTCAATTCTGCATTTACTACATAAAACATAATAAGTGAAATGGCAGAAAACACGACAGTTCAGCCAAATAACATACTCGTTACATAAAATACTTTCTCTTTATATTGTTTTATTTACATAAACTAAAATAACATACATAAACTAGGCATGATAACCATTATATTATTTTATTTACATAAATTAGGCATGATAACCAGGCATGAAGTGTGCACATTAAAATTTAATGGGAAAATTATTTGACTGACTAATTTACTTACCATCTCTTACTAACAGCTTACCCATTATCTTGTGGTTGCGTTTGAATTAGAAATTTATAGAAATAAAAGAGATATGAAGTAAAGATTATAACTGTTTGCGAAACTAGTTTTGAAAATTATTTTCTAAAAATACTCCACCTTCTAGGAAAGACACGCAAAAATAAAGACTATTTTTTTGAACTTCTCATTGTTTATGTTTCGTGAACATAAAAATATAAACAAAAACAAAAAAAATAAAAACGAAATTAAACATGTTCTTATTATCTTAAAACACTTGGGCGTGTGTGGCATCTAATGTTACTGTCATTGATTAAGTCATTTAGTTGATTGTTGGAATGCTATAGTTGTTGAACTATGACGGTAAATCTTTATACAATCAGCTCTTAGGAACCATGACCAGTAGATTAGTTATACAGTTATATAGCATTGTTTAGTTTCAATCAATTGAATTGAAACCAAGTACTCTCTCTCTCTCTCTCTCTCTCATCTTTACAAATTTCATATACTCCCCAATGGAACCACAAAGAGAGAAACCATGTCCTTCCAAGTCCTCAAGCACCACCTCTACACCAGAGGCTCCTCCATGTCCAGACACTTCAATGGAGAACACACAAGAAGAAAGAACAGTAGTAGTAGAAGAAGAAGAAGATGGAGAACTAGAGAAGATGATTGATCTCAAGCTCTCTTGTAAGGACTCCAATGATATGTTCAAACCAGAACTCAATCTTATTGATTGTTTGAACATGGATTCAACTCGAACTTCATCAGCAAATCCCCAAAAACCGGAGGCCGAGCCAAGGGTTTTCTCATGCACCTATTGCAGAAGAAAGTTCTTTAGTTCACAAGCACTTGGAGGACACCAAAATGCACACAAAAGAGAGAGGACTTTAGCTAAAAGAGGACTTAAAATATGGTCACCTGTACCACCTCATGGGCACTCTTATTGGCACCATGATCAGCATGACCATTATTCTAGCTTGGCTTCTCTTCCCCTTCATGGTGCTTATAATTATAATTCTAGGGCTCTTGGAATACAGGCTCATTCGATGATCCATAAGGCTTCTAACATGCCAAGTTCTTCAGGATTTAGGAGTTTGTATGGACATGGTGGATGGTCAAGGCTTCCTATTGATCAACAACCAGCTGTTGGGAAGCTAGCCACACAGAATCACCATGCAAATCCATCATCATCAACTGGACTTTCCTCATCTCGAGGTGGCGTTGGAAGATTTGACGCGGTGAGGATGATGATGACTGGTTCTCCCGCCGATGAGGTAATTGGTGGTTATTGGTGGGCAGGTGGTGGCAACAGCCGGTTGAAGACCAATCAAGATGAGATGCAAAAGCTTGACTTGTCCCTCAAGCTCTAAGTACCTCTTTTTTTTTCTTTTTTTTTTTAAACAATCTCATTTTAAAGCTTTGATCTTTCCCTTGGTTGAGTTGACGATTAGGTATAGTTTTTTTCTTTGAAAGTAATTTTGTTGTTTATTTATCATAGGGAAGTCTAGAAATTTGGTTTCTTTGTTCTAGACTTGGAACTGTTTAGTTCATACATGTATATATGTTCAATTTTTTGGTATTATTTTGTACTCATATTAGATGATTGCTTAAGATGGTTTAGTCCTCCGTGCCTCTAAATGTATAAAGGTGATACTAAATGTTGTAGCTGTACTTCTGTCTCTGAATTTAAAGGTAGAGTCGAAAACATTGTAAGGAATATTGGCTCCGGATCCTCAATCCCCAAAATCAATCCATGTCCCCTGATTCTAATGCACTTTCGTCTGCATGTTTACATTTCGAGATTTTCATCACATCGTGCGATTGAGAATGCATTGGAGACATAAATTTTGATACCCCTAGATGTTGCAAATGTAGAAAAAATTTCTCCCAATAGCTTTCTTGCTTATTTGTCAGTCCTTATCAACAACATAGTTGGTAAAGCTTTTTATGAATTTTTCATATCACAACACAGATTCAATTCTTCTGTCTTACCAAACTAAACACCTAACAAAAGGGAGTACTAATACTTCAAGACTACAAACATATGTGTTAACCTAATAGGAAATAGACCTAATATATATTAAGCTATCCAATACCATTCTTCACGTGTAACCCTGTTTTGCACATGGAGATGCAAATGTCCATATATTATAGAGAGAAGAAATAACGCAAACGAGAGAGAAATAATGCAAATGGGAACTAAATACAAATAGAGAGACTTGAACCCAAGATCTCTTCCAACTTGAGTTATGATACCACGTTAATCAATTAGAGAGAAAAACTAAAATTGTATCATTATTACATAATCAGATGTATAATACAAGAGAGTCTAACCCCAACAATAATAAGATAAAATGACTAAACAAACCTCAAAAGAAAATATACAAAATACATACCTCCAACAATGTGGATCAAATCCACACAAATTGATCGATATAGTGGCATCTACTAAGACATGAGTTCTAGGACATCTATTAATGATTGATGAAGTGGCATTGGGTCCACGTGCAACACCTTGGAAAAACCATTCCACTACCATGTGCGACGACATGTCGTACATGGCATCCACACCTTTCATTGATGTGGGCCCACACAATATTAAAAGATTTAAAAACGGCATCCACATCGTTCATTGGTTGGGCCCACACAGTATTAAAAAAATTCTAAAAATACTGTTAACAATGAGATTACATGGAAAACAAAATAATATACAATGTTCACAATTGTTAATGTACAATGTTCTATATTTCTTGATTAACTAATGGATGATATATTTGTTTTCTTTCATGGTTAGACGCAATTACTAAATCTTAACACAATCACTATATTTGTCTTATTAGTTAATTAAATGCTATCACTAAATCTAGGAAGATTTTGCTGTAATGTTCAAATCTAATCTAGAAGTACCTTATTCTCCATCACAACATATTTTTCTTAATTTCTTATTGAATATTTTTTTAGGGTGCCCTGAATGATTATCATTTTGTCAGTGGACTCTGAATTGCCATGTATTGAGTTGTTTTTCTTTAACTATAGTGTGCACATAGACTCCACACAATATAGAAGTAGAATTCTTCCATACCTAAACCAGGTGATGCAACAAAGCTTTAAAAGCCTGACTAGATTTAGGAGCCTGAAAGAAGAGTACTTCCGAGAACTTAAACAGGAAGTCGACTCAAACTAATACTAACGCGAAGCACAGGAAGTCAAAGTGGAGTGTGAATGACTGCTGTGAAGTTCCCTGAGGCTGTCCTTTGTTCTCATAATAACATGTTCTCTGGTGGCATTGGCAATGCGTTTGTTGGCATTGCCAGCAAATATTGGCAGAGAACCCTGCTGACTAGTAGTTCAATGAACTATTAGTTCCAAATATTCTGAGAAAATTCTAATAAAGGGAATGAAACTTGATCCTAACAACAGCTGTAACAAATCATTTACTTCTGGTTTTTAATGGGGTGGGTGTTTCTCATCAAAGTCTTGAGTGTAAGTGGATATCATGGTCTAGGCCTTTTTCTTAGCACAAGTTAATTTGGAGTTTATGAATGATTTAAACACAAGTAATCTAGTAAACTTTACCAACCTTTCTTTTTAACTCACACGTGACAATTGGGTTGTCCTCGTCACATTATTCTAGTAGACCCAGTTTCAAATATCAAAATTTCACTATTCCAAGTCATATCTATCAATAAGAAAAATTTGTAAAATTTTTAGGAGCTCCTACCCTCTGGGAGTTGGACAGGATTATAATAGTATGATTCGCTGCCATCCGACCCCTTATAATCTCATCCACCTGTGCTGCACCTCCAAATTCCAATCAGGTTAGATTCAACTACATCGATTTTGTTCTTTGTAAATAATCACCATCCCTGAACTGAACAAATTCAAATTGTTTTTCCTTGTAACCAAGAAGTATTAGAATTCAAAATATCCTATGACATTCAAAAGAAGCATAAAAATGAAGCAATTGAGTTGAATTTCATGGGCCATAACAGTTCTTTCCTGCTCTTAGTTACTCTTCTTTTTAAGAGTCAAATATTCATTAGTTTTAGTAGAAGGGAATGGACTTTTTGGCCTCTGATTTCCACATAAAAAACACAACAACAAAGTTTTTATTATTTTTTTTTTATTTTTAAGAATAGTGAACAACAAAGTATTTTTAATATGTATATTAAGAAGAAAATTCTAAGATCTTATCCTATAGAATTCCCAAATAAAAAAACAGGATCTGCCATCTGACAAGGGGAAGTTCATCCAACTTGCGCTGTGTTGATGCTACCTACTCTCACACGTTTGCTGCAAAATATAAAATCAAACACTAGACCAAGAAATTTTCAAATTCCAGAAAATTTCTTAAATGGTTCCGTAGTCTCAATCTGTTCCAAGGAGAGTCTAACCCCAACAATAATAAGATAAAATGACTAAACAAACCTCAAAAGAAAATATACAAAATACATACCTCCAACAATGTGGATCAAATCCACACAAATTGACACCCTGTGTTGCAAATACAGAATCTAGCACTGAACATGGCAAGCCAGCCAACTAGATGTACGACCAGCCTATGGAAAATGGCATGCCGGCCATCTGTTGGCCTACTGGGCGACCAACAACTTCGATGATGCTTTGGTCATTGGGAAAGGTGGATTCGGTAAGGTGTATAAAGGGTTCATCGACGGTGGAGCTACCACTGTTGCCATTAAGCGGTCGAATGCAGAGTCCAAACAAGGGGCAGCAGAGTTTTGGACTGAGATCAAGACGCTTTCCAAGCTCCGGCACACACATCTTGTGACTCTGATTGGCTACTCTGATGATTGCGAGGAGATGATACTTGTTTACGAATACATGGTCAATGGGACGCTTGTTGATCATCTCTACAAAAATAGTAGGAAAGGGAATGGGAATGAAATTTATCGGCTTACTTGGGAGGATAGGCTCAAGATTTGTATTGGTGCTGCCGAAGGATTGGACTACCTTCATACGAATACTGAGCAAGCTGTCATACATAGAGACGTGAAGAGCACAAACATTCTATTGGACGAGAATTGGGTAGCTAAGATTTCAGATTTTGGGTTGTCCAAAATGGTAAACACAAGCCATACACGAACCCATGTTAGTACAGATGTTAAAGGCACATTTGGTTATTTAGATCCAGCCTATTTCTTGACTCGTAGACTGACCAAGAAATCAGATGTGTATGCCTTTGGTGTGGTTCTATTTGAAGTGTTATGTGCAAGGCCACCGGTGGATACAAGTGTTGAGGAGGACCAAATGGGTCTAGCCCTATGGGCTCAAAAATGCATCAAAAAGGGAACCCTTGACCAGATCATTGATCCCTCTATAAGAGGACAAATATCACCAAATTGTCTAAAGGTGTTTGCAGAAGTTGCTAACAAATGTTTACTTAATTATCCAAAAGGAAGACCTACAATGAGTGAAGTTGTGGGGAGCCTCAAGCATGGATTGGCATCACAGGGCAATATTCGTATATCTCGACAAAAGGGAATAATAAGCAATCTGTTTTTAAGTACTGCACATGTAGTGGCTAAAGGTATTGATCTTGGGTGGAGGAAGTGGAAGAACAACGGTCCTAAGAATGGCATGTCAAGGCAGTTGTGGAAGGATCCAATTGCAGATGTCATCCAATTATACCGTCGTTTCTCTTTTGCAGAGATTCGAGCAGCCACAAATAATTTTCATGAGATTCTGGGGATTGGGCTCCGTGGTGATATCGAAGTGTATAGAGGCCATATCAGCCGCGAGAATCTTGATGTGGCAATTAAAAGGTGGAAAGAAGGAACATCAAGAGAGAGGAACTTGGACCAATTTAGGGCTGAGATCCAGGTGCACTCCTATATCCGTCACCTCCACGTTGTTTCTTTAATTGGATACTGCATCGATAAGCATGAGGTGATCCTTGTGTACGAGTATATGGCCCATGGGTCACTCTACTATCACCTCAATGAAACCAACAAGTATTCACTTAACTGGGAAAAGCGACTTGAGATTTGCATTGGTGTTGCACGAGGACTGCAATACCTCCACGCAGGTACCAGGCAAACAATCATTCATCGCAACCTGAATCCGACCAATATTTTGTTGGACGAGAATTGGAATGCCAAAGTGGTGCCCAAAACTGAACCGTGGACAAGCATCGTGGGATATATGGATCCAGAATACCTTGGTAATGCACAATTTACTATAAAATCCAATGTGTACTCATTCGGCGTCATCTTACTTGAACTATTATGTGGTAGGAAGCCAATGATCTACTCAAGCGACGAGGATCAAGTGAATTTAGTTCGTTGGTTCAAAACTAATATCAAAATGGGTACAATAGATCAGATCATTGATCCGTATCTTACTGACAAAATAGCGCCCGAATGCTTGAAAGAATATGTAAAAAATGCAGAAAATTGCGTGTGTGATGAGGGGATTGAGCGTCCATCGATGGATGACGTGTTGGGTAACCTCCGGTATGCACTGCAACTGCAGGAGACTTGGCGGAATATTAATGAACAGTTCGGCACAGATACGTCCCCTGAGGCCGTTCCACTTCAGGATGGCATTGTGTTTGTTGAATTAGCCAGTGGAAGAGCTATTGATGAGATGAGTTTTACGAGCATAGGGGATTCAGATTGTTTTTCGGGTAATCTGGCACGGTAGCACAACTCTGTGGCCTTTACAATGGCCTTTCCAAATGAAACAGCATAATGCTGGCCCTGTTAGTGGATTGCTTTCCTATGTAT